GGCAGTGCGATCACGCAAATGTAGTACCCGGATGTACCGATCTTGGGCTGCAGTGGTGACTCGAGGTCTGCCTGCACGCGGGGTCATTTGTTATACCTGTTTGGTTGTAACGAGCTGCAAGCCGTGATATCGTGTTCAGACTAACATTCAGACGCCTGGCAACAGAAGATTGGTAATCTCCAGCTTGCATTCTTCAATTGCGATGTTCCGTGTCGCAGAGTCCAGACGTGGCGTTGTGATTTGACCTTGAAACTCCTTCAGAACGAATGCCGATTTCCGAAAGTAATCTGGATTTTTATTGCCAGACAGTGCATGCTCTTTGCTGCCCAATTTCAACTCGAAGGTTATCTCTGTTGCGTTGTGGCGATGCCTTTTTAATCATTGTAAGAAGTCTCATCAAAATCAACATTTTAAGGTAAAATCGATTTTGTACTTGTGCAAGTGTGTAAAATCATGTCATCAACACTTTTGTTACATATTTTGACGATTGTTTGAACTCAATAGGTAATTATTAGATTTTTAAAATCGCCTATGCGTTTCTTTTTGGGGATAGTATAGTTTTGATTACACAATGACATATAGAAAGTGGTCAAGTGTAACATATGTTATATTTGGGATTGCACTTACTTAGTAAAGTACAGCCCATTTCTGGTGTGCCCCGCCGTGATGTTGCTGGAATATTGCTAAAAACGGCGTAAAACCAAACTCAGTCAGTCAGTCTTCAAGGCTGTTGTATCAGTAGATGTTGGCTTACTCTGTACAGATGGCAACATAAAGCGTCTATTTGATTAAAGAAAGTCCACCAAGGATGGTACCTGTAACCAATGGCTCTGTCCAGAAGCTCCTTCGCCTCCAGAGCACTGCCTCTCTTCCGCAGGATAACTGCCAGGTTGATCAATGCCGCGTTGTACTGCGGATGCAGTCTGAAGAAACATGACGTAATAAAACCTTTCAAAGGAGTTCCCCAACACACCAAGCAAATATTAATGGTGTCTTAGTCGAACTTTGGAATATTCCCTAGATATTCCGGCGTAAATAAATCGTATCACCCTGTCGGGTTTCGCTGTAGTAAAGTGTCCACGTAAGACACGACCAAATAGCTCGGCTGGTCCGGGTCTGTAGATTGATTGTCATTGCACCCGACGAGTTGAGCGTTCACAATATCGACCACTGGATTGTCTGGTGACACGAGTATTTTCGAGCTGCTGTCATATGCGTGAACTATTGTATAGTATGGCGATAAACAACTGACGAACAAACAGTAATCCAGTCAGAATTAGGTAAACTAACACAAGCAACGATTCAGTACCATATAGATGACGTACAGTCATCAGGTTCGCACACTGTAACCACCAATTCTGGTGTCCCCGGGAAGGGATATTACTAAAAGCGGCGTACAACCCAACTCACCCCAACTGACTCTTTATTAATGATAACGATCAGTGAAAACTGGCGAATTATTAACAAAACTTTAAACCAAATTGCAGCTGTTAACATATTTGCACATGCTTTTCAGTAATTTGGATGCATGATCCTTGTGCAATTCACAAGTGCATCCCCCAAGTTAGTGGAGAAATCAATCTTCGTTGTAACCACATATATATCCATAACATATAGTGAGTGTTTTAAGTGAGTAGAAAGGATATCGTTGTTAAAACAAACATACACGGTTCCATATACCTACTTCTTCGTTGTAACCACATATATATCCATAACATATAGTGAGTGTTTTAAGTGAGTAGAAAGGATATCGTTGTTAAAACAAACACACACAGTTCCATATACCTACTTCTTCGTTGTAACCACATATATATCCATAACATATAGTGAGTGTTTTAAGTGAGTAGAAAGGATATCGTTGTTACAACAAATACACACAGTTCCATATACCTACTTCTTCGTTGTAACCACATATATATCCATAACATATAGTGCGTGTTTTAAGTGAGTAGAAAGGATATCGTTGTGAAAAGAAACACACGCAGTTCCATATACCTACTTCTTCGTTGTAACCACATATATATCCACAACATATAGTGCGTGTTTTAAGGGAGTAGAAAGGATATCGTTGTTAAAACAAACACACACAGTTCCATATACCTACTTCTTCGTTGTAACCACATATATATCCACAACATATAGTGAGTGTTTTAAGTGAGTAGAAAGGATATCGTTGTTAAAACAAACACACACAGTTCCATATACCTACTTCTTCGTTGTAACCACATATATATCCACAACATATAGTGAGTGTTTTAAGTGAGTAGAAAGGATATCGTTGTTACAAACAAATACACACAGTTCCATATACCTACTTCAACGTAAGTCTGTATTCATCAACAGCAATGTCAGTGTTGTTGTTCTTGGCTTGCACGTTCCCAATGTTGTAGTGTATCTGTAAATACTAAATAGGTTAGGTGGAAGGTACAGTTGCGTCGCTTTCGAATCCCCCGTTGCCCCGATTAGGAGTCATCAGGGGACCACTCACTCACTCATTCGTTAGGAACTTGACATCTCTTTCAGCTGAAGACATGAGATTTTAAGTCATGACTTTTTTTAAAATTTATTATTATAGGATCTTTATATAGCGCACATATGCAGGCAACTAGTACATGCTCAAGGATCTGAGCATTTTGTCACAACGTTGCAACAATGAAATCTGAAATGCTAAATTTCACAGATTTTATAGAATACTATTATTTTATCCATGAACAGGCACACTTGCTGCTGCTTCACACAACCAAAATGGCGTGACCGAATTAGAAGAAAATGGTGAATGAAGTCAGTTTGGAAGAATCTGTTCTCTTCCTGACGTTTGAATACATTCCACATTTTATTGACAACGTCTTATAATTTTTTATATGACGTTTCAGAGGTAATTCTTGCTCCTTCAGGATAAATTATTTCTGAAACGTATAAAGAATGAAAAGAAGTTGTTCTCCATAAAACATGTAACGTATTCATGTCCGTCCAACTTGTAAATGCCTTTCAAGAACTTCCCGGAGTTTGTTGTAATGTCATGAAATATCATCTCGCAGTTGGTATAACACCTACCTTAGCATTCAGGGGACAGACTTTGGCCCCAGGTGTGTATAAAGCGACTTCGTCTTTGAAGTCCATGCTCCTCTGAAAGGATAATATTCAATCAACATGCTTTCACTTCACTCTAAACAAGAACTTAACAATCGTTCATTCATTTGTAACTGATATTTAGAGAACGAAAGTGTGTCTCATTATTTACCAACTATATGCTTAAAACCTCACCTCCATTGATCGTAGAACAAATATCAGTACGAGGACTAGGAATCCAGCTGATACGTGCTGTAACAAAAGGTATATTTACATCTAGTTATAATCTAATTGAATAAGATTATTTGAAAACGACAGTAGAAATGTAAACCCACTTCAATGAAAAACAGCAAAACTGCAGAATTATTATTTATTACTATTCATATTTATTAGCATTTGTTGAAAAAAAATTATTATTTATTATTATTCATATTTATTACCATTTGTTGAAAAAGAACTATTATTTATTACTTTTCATATTTATTACCATTTGTTGAAAAAGAACTATTATTTATTACTATTCATATTTATTACCATTTGTTGAAAAAAGAAATTCATTTTTAACAGTACGGTATCTAGTGACCAAATCCCAGCCCAAAGTGAAAGTAGTAAGAATCAAAAGATTATTTGTATACATTTATTTGTGTAACAATTACACGTCAACAAAACTGATGAGATCTTTCCACAAGACATTTAGTAGGGTGATAATCATACGTATGAGAACCTAAAGCTTTGAGAAATGACTTTGGTTTCGTTTTTACCACATTCCAGCCTTTTATTTGGGACACAGAGATAGTGATAGCGCCTGTATTCGCTGTTATCCATGTAACGTCAGATACATGTGATTCATATCACACACTGTTGTAAACATACATATAATACGAAGGAAACGAAAATAATGTATTGCTTAACAACTGCCTAGAGTCTGTATTGTATCATATGGTAGTCAAGAACAAAGTTCTCAGCTGGATTTCTGGATTTGTGAGCGTAACAAGGATGGTTTTTAATGCTGACAGAACATGACAAGCGGAACGTTTCAAGGACGCCCAGGTTCCAGTTCCCGGATACATGTAAAATGTCTTGGCTTGTACCGTGTAATTTACATTCCTAAGCCATACTGATCAAGTAATGGCAACAGCATTCCCGACAATGCGATTTGAAACTGTTATCATAAAAACTTTATCTTCATAAAGAGGAAAGTTTAAATGACATGACATGCATCAAAGACAAATGAAAGTGAGTGAGTATGGTTTTACGCCTCTTTTAGCAATATTCCAGCAATGTCACGGCGGGGGACACAATGTACCCACGTAGGGAATCAAACCCGGGTCTTCAGCATGACGAGCGAACGCTTTAACCACTAGGCTACACCACCGCGGAAACAGATGGTATATAAAAGCTAATAGTTAGACGAAGCTTCCTCTTTCGGTTAAGTCAAATAGAAGCGACAAAACTCTTTCCACATCCATATGAAATCTCTGCCAAAAGCAGAGTCGATTGTACAATTGTGACTATATCATGAGCATATTGTTTCAGCAGTATTACAGCTGTATGATGTTGTTTGTAAACAAATCGGATCTGAACCAGACAATCCAGTGATTGTCGCCATGCGATAGGATGACAGAGCATGTGTTTATCAATCGCTATGAAATAGTGATGATACCAGGTGTCCGCGAAAAGGTGAGCATATCCTGCCCCACCTTCTCGATCTGTTGATATTACTGATCATATACTTACTCGATTATAATTTTTGTTTGTTTGTTGCCTAACGCCATACTAATCACTTCAGTTCCGGATAGTCACTGGACGCTTCCAGAGTAACAGTAGAATGATTCGTGATCAGTGGATGGCCAATGTACGTGACGCTACCCGCTTTACAGAAGAACGTAGAAATTCAAAGGTCTAGTTTTAGGAGAACTTTGGTAGCTTACCTTCTTGGTTGTGGAATGGGCATGAAGACAGATCTGTCTGGCCCCGAGCACCACCAACATACAGAAGCCAGCACAGGACAGGTACAGAATCCTCTCTGCGATCACGAAGCCCACACGGAAAAACAGGTTGCTGGCTGGCAGGAAGGGAACTCCCAACACTCCCAGGGACATTATCAGGATCCTTTAGATAGAAATCCTATGTTAATTTAGATCATTCCTGAGTTAAATGGATGGGTGCGTGATTGAGTTTGGTTTTACGCCGCTTTTAGCAATATTCCAGCAATATTAAGGAGGGGGGACACCAGAAATGGGCTTCACACATTGTACCCGTGTAGGGAATCGAACCCGGGTCTTCAGCTTGACGTGGGTTATATGGGACAGTACACGTATGTAACTTGGGTTTCTTCACACAAAACATCTTCACTGACTCCCATATATTAAAATAAACGTACGCTGAAATGTTTTGACTATTGTAACCCCAACACGTTTTAGCACGGAGATCATTTTGTGGAACAAGATCCAGGACAAAAATACTGTTACGGTTGTTTGGGATTTCTAAACCAAACGAAATATTTTTAGTTTGTTTTGCTGTGCATACTGATGATGCATTACTTTGTTATTCGGAATTAGTGAGTGAGTGAGTGCATATGGTATTATATCTATATTCCAGCGGGGGACACCAGAAATGAACTACACACACTGTATCCACGTGGAGAATCGAACCTGTGTATTTGGCGTGACGAGCAAACGTTTAACTACTAGGCTGCCCCACCGCCCCTTATTTGGAATTACACACACTGCAAGGGTACGGAGTATGACAATTGTTGCAAGCTAGTCCTTGACACAGAACAGGTAAGTCATAATGTGTGCTTCTGACAACACTTTAAACATTTGGCAAATGTCCTACACGTGTTAGAAATATGTATATATCCCTGTAACGTTTATACATGCATTTTGATTATACCGCTGTTCAGAGTTCGCTGTGATTACCGGCAATATTGCGTCGTTAAGCAGTATTTACTCACTCTCTCAGAGTATTTGCTAACGTAATTAAAATGCATGATCTCAGTTGTATGGACTACGTGAACTCCTAACTCATTTTCTCCAAATTTGAAATTTAGCAATTCGTGTCATCCGAAGACGTGCTATTAACTTCCTCACACAGTTTCTAGGAAGTTTTACATGTTACAGTCACCAATATCAAACCATGTATTTACCGTTGATCTTTGTTCATTTCACCATGGCAACAATGATAGAACAAAACCCCAAACCCGGTCCAGAGAGCTATGACTGCCAGGATTCTTGGATCAGCCAATGAGGTGATGACAGGTATACAGCCCATTGACCAATCACAGCACAGCCACCATGGATTCAACAGCAGCCAGGTGTTGATGGCATAGAGGTAGTTGTAGTTCAAAATCTGTAAGAGAAAATCCACAACAGATTAGGAGACAAATGGAAACAAATAACACATGCTATCCAACGTGGAATTGTTCTTTGTTCAAAGATCGGGCTTTCGTTCCGGTGATCTGCAAATATCGTAAATCAACGAACTAGTTGATAAACATCATATGTTGATAATAAAGTAATAAATATAACAGACACGTTATCCAGACCGTTTTTATTTGAAAATGTTACTCTCAATCTGAATATCTCCAGCAATGTCCGAATCAGCGAGACTTACAACTGTTGGTCTGTGTCGGGGACATTGTTTGTCCCGAGCCAATGTCCTTGAATTTATGTTTTTGATGCTTTATGTATTTAAAAAGATTATATGTGTGCACTTCTCCTCTCAAAATCGAAATTATATTATCAATCTGCTGGTCTTTAGGACAGTACTCACTTTCGATATAGTGCCATTTACAAAGGAATGTGGATTATCTTCAGAAACGAATGTCGGTGTTGCAAATCCCATGATTCCTAGTCGAGTAGCCAGGAGTAACACGCCGGTCAGGAAGAGGATGAGGTGACGTTTGAGGAGGCCCTTGACCCACAGAACCATTTTCTGTATTAGTAAGTGAGTGAGTGAGTTTAGTTTTACGCCGCTTTTAGCCAGTAATATCACGGCGGGGGAGACCAGAAAGGGGATTCACACATTGTACACATGCCCTTGACCCACAGAACCATTCTCTGTAGTAGTAAGCGGAACATGTAACAACCGTATTCTAAGCAGATTGTATGATATATCAAGTGTCATTGTAGGTGAGAGATTGTGAGCGACGTTACTATATATATGAGACAAGCAGTTCGGCCTTGTTGATGTCCCTTGTTTCAGCCATCCTGTACTGCACCAAGTGAGCCAAAACAATAATATATTTTAAACACATTAGTATTTTTCCGTTCAATTTCTTTTTCAAGTGAATGGACTCAACAAATCCTGAAATATATAACACCATTCGTCGGCATGCAGCTATAACATGGGACAGTTATTTTACATGTTATATTGAACTTGGATGGTAACATTTCTCTCGAAACAAATGGTTAAATTACCATGGGCAGTACGTCCTAAAATTAGGAAATGATTTCAACATTCAAATACAAAATAATCCTGTATTAGCCTTTATCTCATTCCTTCTGTCCTCACCTTATCTGTGACACGATCTTTCCTATACGTCAGCAACTGCATGGGGTGGACCCTGCAGACCACGATGATGTCATACACACTACATATACCCTGTCAACACGAGGCAAAGTTATTGGTAATACGTGTGACTGATTTACACGTTAACGAATCTTATTTATCTTGCCTCACACATAAATGTCGTTTTCTGGTTGGCTGAGTGCTCTTCTATTATTTTTATGTACCCCGCTGGGAATGCCGAACTCATTTGGTACTTCGTTGTAGTAATTCTGTATCTCGAATAACATTGAATCACGTATGATATACGGAAATTACCGATGTTTTGCGAATGCAAATCGATGGAAGGGAGATAACTCTAAATTTGTTTTTCTTGTCTTGTACTCCACACTGTGATCTGATACCCGTGCTTCAAACAGTTCAGAATTACCATTGAGGTGTTCGGTAAAATAAATACGTTGTTTACTGGTCCCTCGGGGACCATGGGTTGATGTACCCTCTATGTTTCTTTATGTTCCCCTCCCTTCGGGCTCAGTGAACAACTTATAACAAACGTTCCGATTTGAGGAGGAATGAATTCACCTTGGCGGATTGTGTCCTTGTATATTCATTTTATGTTCATATTTTGATATACCATGCATATATCATCCAAATTACAGAAACGTCTGAAATATGAAATGGTTCGCTGAAAATGGTCAGCGCTGTTGTACCCCTAAATACACAACTGGTCCGCTTGTTAAATACGAAAAGGTAAAACTGCGCCTGTACTCACAATGACAGTGATGCCCTGCTCTTTACAGAAGGTGGACACGACACACAGACACATACTGGCCAGGATAGACACCAGGGAGAAGGACTCGGGACGGAAACTGACAAGGCATGAATCTGAAATCAGATAATGATCATAACTTCAATATTATTACTTTTTGGTCATCAACATATGCCAGAACATTGGACCAAGCAAGAAGATAATCCTATGACATCATATGAGCTAAGGAAGAGAGTTGTATGGATGTCAGCTATTTTTATTATGATGAACAAAACGTTTCGGAGTATATACTTACTCATTCATAAGATGAACTATGTGATATCATAGTTCATACATCAGATAAATGATGAAGGAGTAAGTATATACTTCGCAACGTTGTGTTTCTAATAACAAAGATGTTGACTTCCATAAAACTCTCTTCCTCATGTGTATCACTACAACATGCCATTCACAGACCTGATCACATGGGCTACACATTGTCAAGACTTACGTGGAAGGCAACTCCTGGCATAGAGCAGGAATGACAGGAGAAAGGTCAAGGCACACAACAGATCCGCTCGGCCCACGACTCCTGCTACCTGTAACCAATGAATATCAAGGACCGTATGATAAGGTGTTACTATATATTGATGCATGTAACCAATGCATGTCAAGGACCGTATGATAAGGTGTTACTATTAATGCATGTAACCAATGAATATCAAGGACCGTATGATAAGGTGTTACTATTAATGCATGTAACCAATGAATATCAAGGACCGTATGATAAGGTGTTACTATTGATGCATGTAACCAATGAATGTCAAGGACCGTATGATAAGGTGTTACTATTAATGCATGTAACCAATGAATGTCAAGGACCGTATGATAAGGTGTTACTATTGATGCATGTAACCAATGAATGTCAAGGACCGTATGATAAGGTGTTACTATTGATGCATGTAACCAATGAATGTCAAGGACCGTATGATAAGGTGTTACTATTAATGCATGTAACCAATGAATGTCAAGGACCGTATGATAAGGTGTTACTATTGATGCATGTAACCAATGCATGTCAAGGACCGTATGATACAGTTTTATTAATGTCACATGTAACCAATGGAGTGAGTGAGTGAGTGAGTGAATATAGTTTAACGCCGCTTTTATCAATATTCCATAACCAATGTGACTGCAGGTCCATAATTGATATATGTAGCCAAGGCACATAAAGAGAGAAAAAGACGAATGACACTGATATTACAGCAATCTGTAACCATATAACATGAGGAATTACATATTAGAAAAAAACATGGTAACAGCTTCATTACAGATACGTGTATGATTTAGACTGTTACACCACTTTTCATCGCGACAAACTGTTGTCATCAAAAGCCTTCTTCCTTTTTCTGGTAATAAAATAGCAAAACGTCAAAAATTGTATTATAAAGAATGCATTATCTTTTTCGACGTTCATTCAGCTATTGCAATAATGTATTAACTTTTCAAAGTGATTGATGTATATATACAAATTAATTTAAACTTTTTCAGTGTTGATATTTAAAATAATATAACGTAAATGAGTGAGTGAGTGAGTTTAGTTTTACGCCGCACTCAGCAATATTCCAGCTACAGTCAGCTCTCATTAATCCGACACTCATTAATCCGACAATCACGTTAATCCGACATAAAATTAGGGAACCATTTAAAACAGTGATAATTACTCTCGTTAATCCGACATTCTCGCATTCCGACTCCGACACACAAATCTAGCAACCGATCATTGTAAATACATTGTAAAAACATTCGTTAATCCGACAATCAACACAGCCGGTCGGATGATCCGACCGTATACAAACATCACACATGAAAGGTGATTAGCGCGTGCCTTACTGGCTGCTTAACACCCACGTCGGTGAACATCACACTTGTTAATTAGAAACACAAGATAATTAATTGAGGCGATTTAATCAAGAAATAACAATAGAGCGAGCTGTATAAAATGTTTACAACCGACCTGAGCATTCATCACGACAAGATGTCTGTCACGAGTACACCTCTGCCTTTTGTATATGGCAGTGGTGTGTAAACAATCGAGTCTAGACCAGGCAAGCCAGTGGCCAACAGCATGAGCACCGATCTACGCAATTGGGAACACTTGACATGTGTCAACCTAGTGAGCCTGACCACCCGATCCCGTTAGTCGCCTCTTACGACCAGCATGGGTTACCACACTTTATGCAAGTGGGTAAGTGTATGTGACTGAACTATGACCAATCCAGTGTTCTAGCTCTAGAATGACATGCAACATAACAGGAGAAAATCTCAACGTGGCGTGACTATGTGTATGAACTATCCATGATCCGCCTTGGAACTACATCTATCTTGAGCATTAGGAGCAGTGTGTACTCACGCTTTCAGTGTGAATGGGATGCACAGCAAACAACACAGCACACAGGAGAGCAGCTCGGGGCGAGGCAAACACCGGCCTGGCAGATTCCTGGTCCACCTGGTAACCAGACATGAGGACAGAGAATACTGCCAGGAATATGACCGACACCAAGCCGTGCAGGACGATGTTGACAACGTGGAAGCCCCGAGGATGAAGTCCTCCTGCCCATGCGTAGTTCCACCTTGAATGAAGAATATCTGATGAACGTTTGAATGTTCTCTTGTATATGTGGGTTTGATGTATTCTGTTTAACTGATAACAATGGGTACACTTCTAACATTAACATTATCTTGGCTGCCGCGTGTAGTATTGCTTCAGCCATGGAGGATGGGCTCCACATATTTTAGGGGAAGTGAACACTATAACCAGGGCAACATATTGCCTGTCAGCAACTACAAGCAAATCAGAAGAATGTGTGGGTATACTAGTCCGGTCGGTTTGATTCTGAAACCATGCCGCACTTTAACTGACTCCTACTTCCCTTCAATGTCAAGCGTCTGGCAACACGTGCCATTGTTTACCACCTGTTTCATGGGGCTGGCAGGGGGTACAGCTACCTCTCCGACCAAAGCTCCACCAACGAGGCTTGTGCATGCAGATACAAGGTGTGATGAACAGTTTCACTTCAGATACTGTACTCCCACTCCATATGAAGCTACCTGAGGCCATGTTATTATACGCCTAAATATCCATCGCCCTAGACTCACCTGAAAGTCATCACTGTGACGGGTCTGTAGGATTTGTGACTTGTGTTGTCCAACTTATTTCCCCAAAAGTCATGAGCGAAAAGATGAGAGAGTGGGGTCTCGGGAAGAAGGTCTTTGTTTCTGGTTACAGCCGACAAATCATCAAACAAAAACTCTCCGTCGTGGCTGTTCGCGAAACACAGCACCGCCAGACAGAAGACGAGGACAGATGCCACAGAGAAGCTGAGTTTGGGAACAGGCAGGACATCGTCCCAGTCTGTCTCCTGGTAGTTGGTCTTGGAGGATCGAGGCGTCAATCTGCTTATCCCAATCATCTCAGGCGTGTTGTGCTACGGATCAAATTAGATAGTTTGTAAGTACATGTATGTGTATTTACTCATCAAACAACACATATATCATAAGTTTGTTTGTGTATGTATAGCCAAACAGACATGGGGAATAGAATACCTCTTCCACAATAAAAGTCTGATAGTATACATGTATTCTGTATATTTTCTAACCCGTGAAGATCCGAGTTAGAATTGGTGTTCAGCTAACAATGCTTGTCGTGAAATGTGGTCAGGCTCGCTAACTAATGTCGTCGTATCCTGAATGCGAAGATCGATGCTCATGATGTTGATCACTGGATTGTCTGGTCCAGACTGGATTAAATTCTTCAAGAGATTTAGAAGTTGGTGTAGTAATGCACGACAAATCTTATGGATAACAACTTCTTGATTTATTTTTCACAACGTTTCTGGGCTAGTTCTTGCCCTTTCTTCAGGTATGAATAATCCACCTGAAGAAGGGGCAAGAACTAGCCCAGAAACGTTGTGAAAAATAAATCAAGAAGTTGTTATCCATAAGATTTGTCCTGCAGACTGGATTATTTACCGCCGCTATATAGCTGGAATATTGCTGAGTGTCGCGTTAAACAACAAACAAACAAACAAATCTTGTAAAATACTTCGTTATTTAAAGAAAACAATATTTACGCGTATGTTGTTTTTATATCCGCCCAAAACAATCCATTGCTTTTTCAAATGACGGCTTCTGCTCCTACTGTTAATCACTAGATTTCAAGGAAAAACTTGAAATTATTAGAATTGCTAAAGTAAAAGGAATCATATTTCGGAATAAGGCTAAATGGTACGAAGAGGGAGAAAAAAATACGGAATATTTTATGAATTTAGAAAAAAGAAACTATGTCAATAAAAATATGGGTGAACTAATAACACCCACCGCAGTTTTGACAAAAAAGGAAGACATATTAAAAGAATCATCACCCAGTGGCCCCATACCTTTTTGTTGTTTGTGTCGAATTATTAGCTATAGCAATTAGATCAAACAAGAATATTAAGGGAATTAAAATAAAGGGTATGGAATATCTCATTTTTCAGTACGCAGACGATACAAACTTTACACTTGATGGATCCGAAAAGGGATTATTGGATCTAATCTATGTTATTAAAAAAATTGCTGCTGTATCTGGGTTAAATCTTAACTGTGATAAAACCATAGCAGTATTGTATGGTTCCAAGCGTGATTCTAATGAACAACTTTGTCCTCATATAGCTCTCCGCTGGTCGAAAGAACCATTTAAAATTCTGGGTATACTTTTTTCAACTAAGTTAGATGAAATGATTCGACTAAACTTTGAAGAGCAATTTTCTAAAATTAGAAAAATACTATTTTCATGGTCGAACAGATCTCTCACTTTGAGAGGCAGGATTATGATTATCAAATCACAGATTATCTCCCTTTTTACACACCTTTTTATGGCGCTTCCCAACCCATCTAAACATTTCTTTACACGTTTGAACTCTATCCTTTTAAAGTTTATTTGGGGTGGTAAACGCGATAAGATCAAAAGGAATATGTTAATAAACGACTAAGCAAAGGGGAGCTCTGAAAATGATAGATATCATATCTTTCTGCAACTATCTGAAGATCAAATAGATCAAAAGACTATTCACAGCAAAAAGATTATAGCAGCACATAGCATTTGAATCATTATCGCCTTTTGGGGACATTGATCTATTTAACTTTCAAGGAGAAAAACTACTATTATACTCCAAAATGATTTAAAATTACTTTTGGAAAGATGTCTTAGTATGTTACTCTTGTATTAATAGAAACCATATTGAAAACATCGGAGACTTTATTTCTCTACATGTTTTGAACTTTGTACCATTTTCTGACATAGGCTTGTTTGTCTCGTGGTATAGAAAAGGAATGAAAAATATGAGGGACATCATATCAATTACAGGTGATTTTAAACCTTTTGAAATACTAAAAGAAGATTTTAATCTCCATGAAACATACCTTCTCTACTTTAGATTTTTGAAATACGTACCTAAACGATGCCTTAATCTTCTTAAGGCTACACCTATTGTTGATGAATTAGTTACAAGAAACTGTACCATTATTAAACAAATATGTAACTCGGCTGATTGTAAATATGTTTACTCACAGCTGTGTGACAATCATGGAATATCATTAAATAATCTTCAACATAAATGGGAATCCAAGCTTAATACTACTCTATCAGAGAATTATCTCACTGACTGTTTTGCAATGATAAATACTACTACTATGGAAAATAAGGCTAGGAACTTCCAGTTTAAATTGATGCACAGAATAGTTTCAACAAAGTCATTTCTATGTAAAATAGGTATTACTCACGATAATCTTTGTACTTTGTGTGGCCGTGAAATAGAAACTCTTGAGCACTTATTCTTTTTATGTGAGAAAACTAAACATCTAATCTCTCAGTTTACAAGCTGGTACAATTCCAAGACCGGCGCTTGCCTCAATATCGATATAACTAAGTTTCTATTGGGGGACCCTGAAGCAGGTGTATTAGTTAATCATATTTTCATAATCACCAAGGAATATATTAATAAAGTAAGATATACCTCCGCAGATTTAGATTTTAATCAACTCTTCTACCTCATAAAAAAACACTACCATTTCGAAAAATATATTTTCAGGGAACACCACTCTGTCTTCAAAACAATGGTTATGTCTCTTTCAAAACGACTACATTTTAGATTAGCATAGTGAGTTTCTCTTTTCTGCACCCTTTCCTCTCACTCACCCTTTGTGCTATCTACACGAATTCGTGTATTTTGCAATTTGATACCTTGCGGATATTTTCACGTTAGTGCTTCTGTTTGGCCATGACCTTCGTTATATTATCAGCACCACAACCGCCAGAGCATCACAATGCTCGTAAAAGAACAATAGATTTATTATAAAATGTGAGCTAGAAACAGCATGCATTATCCTACGTTTCTAGTTACTGTGAGATACTTACCTGGTCATGGGATACTCCGATAGCTCAGCACATTACACATGGGGAATTAATTATCATTTGACAACCGCGGCCATGGGGTACTCCGATAGCTCAGCACATTACACATGGGGAATTAATTATCATTTGACAACCGCGACCATGGGGTACTCCGATAGCTCAGCACATTACACATGGGGAATTAATTATCATTTGACAACTGCGGCCATGGGGGCACTCCAATAGCTCAGCACATTAGACATGGGGAATAAATTATCATTTGACAACCGCGGCCATGGGGTACTGCGATAGCTCAGCACATTACACATGGGGAATTAGTTATCATTTGACAACCGCGGTCATGGGTTACTCCGATAGCTCAGCACATTACACATGGGGAATTAATTATCATTTGACAACCGCGGCCATGGGGTACTCCGATAGCTCAGCACATTACACATGGGGAATTAATTATCATTTGACAACAGCGGCCATGGGGTACTCCAATAGCTCAGCACATTACACATGGGGAATTAATTATCATTTGACAACCGCGGCCATGGTGTACTCCAAAAGCTCAGCACATTACACATGGGGAATTAATTATCATTTGACAACCGCGGCCATGGGGGTACCGATAGCTCAGCACATTACATGGGGAATTAATTATCATTTGACAACAGCGGCCATGGGGGGTACATTCCATGGGGAATTAATTATAGACAACAGCGGCCAGCACATAGCTCAGCACATTACACATGGGGAATTAATTATCATTTTTGACAACTCCGATAGGCCATGGGGAATTAATTATCATTTGACAACCGCGGCCATGGGGTACTCCGATAGCTAGCTCATTTATTATCATTTGACAACCGCGGCCACATGGGGAATTAATTATCATTTGACAACCGCGGCCATGGGGTACTCCGATAGCTCAGCACATTACACATGGGGAATTAATTATCATTTGACAACCGCGGCCATGGGGTACTCCGATAGCTCAGCACATTACACATGGGGAATTAATTATCATTTGACAACCGCGGCCATGGGATACTCCGATAGCTCAGCACATTACACATGGGGAATTAATTATCATTTGACAACCGCGGCCATGGGGTACTCCGATAGCTCAGCACATTACACATGGGGAATTAATTATCATTTGACAACCGCGGCCATGGGGTACTCCGATAGCTCAGCACATTACAACATGATAGGGAATTGGGGAATTATCATTTGACAACCGCGGCCATGGGGTACTCCGATAGCTCAGCACATTACACATGGGGAATTAATTATCATTTGACAACCGCGGCCATGGGGTACTCCGATAGCTCAGCACATTACACATGGGGAATTAATTATCATTTGACAACCGCGGTCATGGGGTACTCCGATAGCTCAGCACATTAGACATGGGGAATTAATTATCATTTGACAACCGCGGCACTGATCTTTGTACCACATTCTGTATGGGTGTCACGTACGTGTATCCTTGTATCTGGAAATGTTAGCTGACCCAATACAGAACAAAACCAGAACATGTTGTTGTATGAGTCAGCACATTAGACATGGGGAATTATGCCATTACCGCGGATAACATTACTATTCTGTATGGGTGTACACGTGTGATATGTTAGCTGACCCGTTAAACCATAAACAAATGCCATTAGGATAACATTACTACTTGCATGATACGTTAAACCATAAACGGGGCATGCGTGTGTTCACGGCTGTAGGTGGAAATCCACGTCCAAACACGAATCCTTGTAACAGGAAGTATCTACTGAATGAAATATAGATTGTGTGAACATGTGTGCCGTATCGACTGCTGTAGTGCTATAAGGCTGAACCGTAGACTCCTCAATACACGTACACCTTATTTTATTAACAATTGTGTGTAAATGCAACACAATATTATGTAACATGGTAGAGTTTTAACTGACAACAACATCCAGTCAACTAATTGGGCGGTATGCGCAGTAAATATTTCACGAATGAAGAGAATGGGAGGAGCCTGCTATTTATAGAAATCCACGTGTCGGAATCTAAAATCATGTGGTGATCGGCAATGCGTGTATATTATTATACATATAAATACAATACAAATTCAAAATGTTAAACCTTGTAATATGATGATAAAGAGTACCTACGTTTACTCGTTTACAGAGTGCTTCCAAATCTGATCCGCAGTGTGTTGTATGTTTTCTGTAACCTTAGTCTCGGTATGGGTTTCTGACATTCATGCCATATTTGGACGATGTTGCTAGTCCATTAATTAATATTGATATTAATAATTAAAATGATTTACATGTTAATTCCTGTTTAATACTGCCATGCTGATCCCCAAACGGTACATCATGTCAAATGCTAATTCTTTGGTTATCATATTGCAGCAGTTAATTGTTTAAACTTTCATACGCTTCCTCTCAATGAGAACGCGACCTGTCAAACACACAGTTCTCGGCAACATACCGCACTATTTATAGTCCGGTTGGGACTTGAAGTGAAAATCAATACAAATATCGGTATGTGAGTAGCCTGATGTTGTGCTGTCAGACAGTGTAGCTCGTAGTATATCCTGATCGAAAAATTGGACTGAAAGCATGTGTACATCCTGTCACGTCATGGGGCGTAATTTTGCATGTTGTATTACAATGACCTTGACACCTTGGTCGCTCTTGCCTCAAGGTAAGGGTGGCGATCAAGATCATGTAAATGCAAATTTTATCACCAAAATAAAACAGCTAATTTGTTTTTTACATATTGTGGCATACATCTTAATAGAAGTATGTTTTACAAAGACAACAATAACGACCATCGTATACTTTTATATTCCTAACGATTTTAAATTTTAGTGTGGGCAAGAGAATTGGAGTCAGTACCGAATTAATCAGCCCTCATGTGTTAGATTATTAGGAATTTGTATTTAGTCAGTTTCTAATTTAAATTAAACCCGTCAAACCTTTATTTCATTTTGGTTTCACATACATATAACTAAATATAGACATCTTAACCTTGCAGCGGACACATCACAGAACAGGTACAGATAGCGCAAGGAAACAGGCGTTATGCCAAAAACATTCTGACTCAATCATAACTTATGTCCCTCCTGTTAAACTCTCATCTTGTTGACGTCAGTATATAGCCAAATACGTCGCCAACATAAATACACTTGGCAATGTTTTAATTCTTTTGGGAACTGACCCCTGTGATAAAATCCTCCCATTGTGGGAGTGCAAAATTACTAAAACAGTTACAGGTAGTACAAACTGTACCTTGTTGTATAAACTGTACTCTCTGTTCTATAGATTGTACTCTCTATTGTATACACTGTACCATTTGTGTTAGTGGAAACAGTACCATCTGTGTTAGTACACACTGTACTCTCTGTATTAGAATAGACTGTACTCTCTGTGTTAGTATAAACTGTATCATGTGTGTTAGTAAATACTGTACTCTCTGTTCTATAGATTGTACTCTCTATTGTATACACTGTACTGTCTGTGTTGCTATAAGCTGTAGCCTCTGTGTTAGTACAAACTGTACTCTCTGTATTAGAACATACTGTACTCTCTGTGCTAGTATATACCGTACCCTCTGTGTAAGTATCAGCTGTAATCTCTGTGTTAGTATATACTGTACTCTCTGTGTTAGTATAAACTGTACTCTGTGTTAGTATATACTGTACCCTCTGTGTTAGTATCAGCTGTAATCTCTGTGTTTAGTATACCACTGTATAAGCTGTACTCTCTGTGTTAGTATAAACTGTACTCTGTACTCTGTGTTAGCATATACTGTAATTCTGTGTTAGTATAATTGTACTAGCATCTACTGCAACTCTGTGTTAGTATAAGCTGTACTCTCTGTGTTAGTATATACTGTACTCTCTGTGTTAGTATATACTGTACTCTCTGTGTTAGTATATACTGTACCTCTCTGTGTTAGTATAAGCTGTAATCTCTGTGTTAGTATATACTGTACTCTCTGTGTTAGTATATACTGTACTCTCTGTGTTAGTATATACAGTACTCTCTGTGTTAGTATATACTGTACCCTCTGTGTTAGTATATACATACTGTGTTAGTACACTGTACTCTCTGTGTTAGTATATACCGTACTCTCTGTTGTTATATATGTACCTCTGTCTGTGTTAGTATATACTGTACCCTCTGTGTTAGTATATACTGTACATATACTGTACACTCTGTGTTATATATACTCTCTGTGTTAGTATATACTGTACTGCACTCTGTGTTAGTATATACTATGTCTCTGTGTTAGTATATACTGTACTCTGTGTTAGTATATACTGTACTCTCTCTGTTAGCACATACTGTTGTTAGCACTGTGCCTCTCTGTGTTAGTATATTACTATAATCTCTGTGTTAGTATATACTGTACCCTCTGTGTTAGTATATACTGTACCCTCTGTGTTAGTATATACTGTATTCTCTGTGTTAGTATATAACTGTACTCTGTGTTAGTATATACTGTACTCTGTGTTAGTATATATACTATACCCTCTGTGTTAGTATATACTGTAGTCCTCTGTGTTAGTATATACTGTACTCTCTGTGTTAGTATATACTGTACACTCTGTGTTAGTATATACTGTACTCTCTGTGTTAGTATATACTGTACATCCTCTGTGTTAGTATATACTGTACTCTGTGTTAGTATATACTGTGCTGCTCTCTGTGTTAGTATACTGTATTCTCTGTGTTAGTATATACTGCACTCTGTGTTAGTATATACTGTACCCTCTGTGTTAGTATATACTGTACTCTCTGTGTTAGTATATACTGTACTCTGTGTTACCCTCTGTATATACTGTACTCTCTGTGTTAGTATATACTGTGTTGTACCCTCTGTGTTAGTATATACTGTACCCTCTGTGTTAGTATATACTGTACTCTCTGTGTTAGTACACACTGTACTCTCTGTGTTAGTATATATTTCTCTCTGTGTTAGTATATACTGTATCTCTGTGTTAGTATAATACCGTACTCTGTGTTATGATACTCTGTGTTAGTATATACTGCACCCTCTGTGTTAGTATATATGTACTCTGTCTGTGTTAGTATATACTGTATCCTCTGTGTTAGTATATACTGTACTCTCTGTGTTAGTATATACTGTACCCCTCTGTGTTAGTATATACTGTAGTCTCTGTGTTAGTACACACTCTATTCACTGTATCCTCTTGTGTTAGTATATACTGTACTCTGTGTTAGTATATACTGTACACTCTGATGTTAGTATATACCTGTACCTCTGTGTTAGTATATGTATACTGTACTCTCTATGTTAGTATATACTGTGCTCTCTGTGTTAGTATATACTGTACCTCTGTGTTAGTATATACTATTCTCTGTGTTAGTTATACTGTACTCTCTGTTAGTACATACTGTACTCTGTGTTAGTACACACTGTACTCTGTGTTAGTATATACTGTAATCTCTGTGTTAGTATATACTGTACTCTCTGTGTTAGTATAAACTGTACCATCTGTGTTAGTATATACTGTACCCTCTGTGTTAGTATATACTGTACTCTCTGTGCTGGTATATACTGTACTCTCTGTGTTAGTATAAACTGTACCCTCTGTGTTAGTATATACTGTACCCTCTGTGTTAGTATAGCTGTACCCTCTGTGTTAGTATACTGTACCCTCTGTGTAAGTATATACTGTACCCTCTGTGTTAGTATATACTGTACTCTCTGTGTTAGTATATACAGTACTCTCTGTGTTAGTATATACTGTACCCTCTGTGTTAGTATATGCAGTACCTCTCTGTGTTAGTACACACTGTCCCTCTGTGTTAGCACATACTGTATTCTCTGTGTTAGTATACATACAGTACCCTCTGTGTTAGTATATACTGTACCCCTCTGTGTTAGTATATACAGTACTCTCTGTGTTAGTGTAACTCACACACCACTGTGTTACTTTTATACTGTACTGTCCGTGTTAGTATATACTGTACTCTCTGTGTTAGTATATACTGTACTCTCTGTGTTAGTACACACTGTACTCTCTGTGTTAGTATATATTGTACTCTCTGTGTTAGTATATACTGTACTCTCTGTGTTAGTATATACTATACTTTCTCTGTTAGTATATACAGTACTCTGTGTTAGTATATACTGTACCCTCTGTGTTGTGTATATACAGTACCTCTGTGTTAGTATATACTGCACTCTCTGTGTTAGTACACACTGTACTCTATGTGTTAGTATATACTGTACCCTCTGTGTTAGTATATACTGTACCTCTGTGTTAGTATAAACTGTACCATCTGTGTTAGTATATACTGTACCCTCTGTGTTAGTATAGCTGTACCCTCTGTGTTAGTATACTGTACCCTCTGTGTAAGTATATACTGTACGCTCTGTGTTAGTATATACTGTACTCTCTGTGTTAGTATATACAGTACTCTCTGTGTTAGTACACACTGTACTCTCTGTGTTAGTATATATTGTACTCTCTGTGTTAGTATATACTGTACTTTCTGTGTTAGTATATACAGTACTCTCTGTGTTAGTATATACTGTACCCTCTGTGTTAGTATATACAGTAATCTCTGTGTTAGTATATACTGTACTCTGTGTTAGTACACACTGTACTCTATGTGTTAGTATATACTGTAATCTCTGTGTTAGTATACTGTAGCCTCTGTGTAAGTATATACTGTACGCTCTGTGTTAGTATATACTGTACTCTCTGTGTTAGTATATACAGTACTCTCTGTGTTAGTATATACTGTACCC